AAAAAAAAAAAAAAAAAAAATGGCGAGAACAGGTCCGTTACGGCGAGTCCGTCCGTCTGTCCGTCCGTTCGCCGCCAATAATGTGGACAGCGGAACCCGCTTCTCCAACGGAGGCGGTTCCGTCGAGGAAGAGCCAAGAATGAGAAGAATGCGTCGACATTTTCAAGGAGAGTCCGTCGCGAAACGTATCTTGTTTATTGGCGCTTGACTTCTCAAAGTCGATCCTCTCTCAATTAGTCGCAACTATCTGGCGTATATACACAGGAAAGTATCGTCCTACTGCTAAGAAATGCGATTGCTCAATTTACTTTGCTTCTTTTAAGTAACGGTTATCTTTAAGAGGGAATATTTTCTTGATAATAATCTTAAAGTATATTCATCATAAACCTGAGAAAAACTTATTATCATATACTCCAAAGAAGAATTTATCCTCTTTACAAGAATATTATAAAACTCTGCCACAGAAAAAGTTGATTCGACTCTACTGAAAGAAAAATATCTAAAAAATAGCAAATATTTATTTGGTGAGTGTTAACAACATATTTCCTTATATTTAAATATAAAATATTTTTCAAATAAGAAAATATACATTTTTATTAAAAAATCTTAAGGAAATCTTAATTTTCCTTGAAGGTAATTATTTATTCTGTTTAAATAAAAGAATTTAAATTTAACTTAATACATGGAGTGTCCTAGAAAAACCTTCAAAGCTCTTGTGAAGAGATAGTACGGATTGAAGTGAATAAAAAAGTCCTCCACTATTTTCCTAATAACTTTTAATTATTAATTAAGGAAGATTGCGATAATATATTATATATTATCTAATTAATAATTATATTATATATTATCTAATTAATAACTAAAAATCTACAAACTTATTAGGAAAAAGGTGGAGGACTTTTTTGTTCAGTTGGACTTAATGTAAAAGCACACGACAGATGTCGCTACTACAGTTCGCACAATTATTCATAAATATTCTCTAATTAATATCTCGATAATTATTGCGAATATTACAAAACGATATAGAACTTTTATGTTCATCTTAATCCGTGTTATGCCTCCACGAGAGCTTTAGGAGTTGTTTTGGAAAAAACACTCTATATGCTGTTACCTACTAAATAAATATATATTTATTTTTAAATATTTTCTCTCTCAGTATAGTAAGTAAACAAAATTTTTGTTTTAATTTAATATGCTTGATTGAAATACTAAATTTACTAAAATGTAGAATGCATTTTAAATAAATTTGATATTTATAGTGAACTTGTGACAGATAAATATAAGCATATGAAATATTTAAAACAAGTAATTTTCACTTGAATGCAGAATAAATGTTTTCGTATCTACCTCAATAATGAAGACAATAGAACTAAGTACGAAACAATAATAACGTCTGACTTGATTTTGTCAAAGAAAATCAAGAAGAAGTGTTGGTATTCGAGGAAAACTGAGTAAGAGAAAAGTCAGTCACAACATGCGTTTCGTTCGTTGGCGATTGATTTATCAAGATCGATCGTCCCAAATTGACTCATCAACATGTGTCTTACGATAACGATAACGATAGAGCCGCTATTGGAATTAATTGTGAAACAGTAATGACTACT